GAAATGTTTATAATGCCACAGTAATGTTTGTCTGTCGATCTATTCGTATTTTGAGTTCTTTTCATCCCGGTTAAACAGATTTTCCATTATCCCCAAATGCTGCATGGTCTTTTTTTTCATATGTAAATGCCTGCCTGTAAAATAATTGTTGTTAGACTAGGTTAAGTGGCATTAGTAGCTGTATTTACATACTATAACTTAGCTTATAAAATAGGCCATTTTTTTTCTTCATAGTTAAGCTGAATGATAAATAAACTATGCCAGTAATTGTACAACTGGCAATGGGTCTGAAGCTGTTAAGTCTCTGTGCTTGTGAAAATCTGCTTAGAGAGATTCAGATTTAATTAAAATCTTTCATCTCCGAAGCAGAACTGTTCCAGATGGAGAGATTTTTATTGTTGAAACCTTCCAGACTTGATTCTAATTCAATAAACTTCAGTTTTCTTGTGCATTGCAGGATTTTTCTTTATGCAAACTGAGTGCACACGGAAACACTTGAGGGCAGTGCTATTGAAGGGCAGTGTTGTTTTGCACTCTCCTTTCTAAACGTACACTGCAGTAAACATAACTGTTTAACAGGAGCTAAACGAGGCTTCTGAGTAGTATCTAGTTGATTGTAAGTTATGTGCTGCAAAACATCAAATTTCAACAGTCTTATTTCAAGACTGAAGGAGTTTTGAATTGCTGACAAAATCAATAAATTCTTAAAATAATGTTTTTACGGTTTGATTGTTTTGGAACCAAGTCTGAACTTTTACTGGGAAACTTTGTTTAATAGCCACAAAAGAGGTCATGAATAGTAAAAAAGTTAAGGTTATAAATTATGCTACCTTACATATTATACCTGTGTTTGATGTTAAAAAGGTTATATGCTACCTTCCACATTATACTTGTGTTTGGTGTTAGAGTTAAGGTTATATGCTACCTTACACATTATACTTATGATTTGTGTTATAGTTAAAGGTTTATGCTACCTTACACATCATACTTGTGTTTGGTGTTAGAGTTAAGGTTATATTCTACCTTTCACATTATACCTGTGTTTGGTGTTAGAGTTAAGGTTATATGCTACCTTCCACAATATACCTGTGTTTGGTGTTAGAGTTTAAAGGTTATATTCTACCTTCCACATTATACCTGTGTTTGGTGTTAGAGTTAAGGTTATATGCTACCTTACACAATATACCTGTGTTTGGTGTTAGAGTTAAGGTTATATGCTACCTTACACAATATACCTGTGATTTGTGTTAGAGTTAAGGTTATATGCTACCTTACACATTATACTTGTGATTTGTGTTAGAGTTAAGGTTATTTAGAGTTAAGGTTATATGCTACTTAACACGTCATACCTGTGAGTTGTGTTAAGAGTTAGGTTATATTAAAGCTATCTTACACATTATACCTGTGATTTATGTTAGAGTTATCTCCCTTACAATTCATTAAACATCATTTGATTTAATGTAATCCTCCGTCCTTACATTGTTAAACCAGTCAATGCCAAAATTAATTTTGACACATATCTTTATCAATATTTATTGTTCAACCTGTTAACACTTGTTTTACTGTCAAACCCATTTATAACGTCAGTAATTCTGTGGGACTAACATTGACGGTTAAACTGTCGCTTTTTAGGTTTGAAAGGTCACCATTATGGCATATTTTACGAAAGAAAATTGAACCTTACCAAAACAACAACCAATTAGCATTAACTAAAAGTGTAATGGACTTCTGGGGCTCTTTAACATAATTGTATTCTGAAGACATTAAGTCAAAATACAGCCAGGATGTCTAGAAGTAGATAGTGGTGAGCGCTCACATTCAATCAGCTCTTACCTATATAACATATCCCCAGGGTAAATACTTCATTTATCTTCTGGGGGAAATTGCATCTCCGGCTTATCTCGTGTTATAAAATTTCTTGACATCGATTTTTGTCTTATTGTCGGTCCTTATTTACTCAGACATGTTGAAGTGCTTGTCTATTTATTAGGAAACGCTTATCTGATGTGGATGGTTTCCCATTGTTGTTTGACGGAGAAGGGTCCTTGTCATTTCAAAAACACTAGATAAGATGATAATGTGTTTGCTATGTACAGCATAAGAAGGTTGATTTTTTTTTTTAACTTATTCAACGAAATAGAGTGTTCTTGATCGATTATGTTTTATGGTTGTAAAACAACAGCACATTAAATAGGAAAGAACTGTAAGTTTGCTTTTACAAAAGATTCCCCACCAGCATTTTTTTTTTAAATTATTTTAAATTTTAGCTTTTATATCTGTAGAACTGGATTTAAGAATCACCACATATTGACCTAACTTGAAAGATGGATTTTTTTAACTCAAAAATTTGTCACGATTGCAATTTTTCTATCATGAACAAATAATTGTTGTGTTTGATGTAAAATGCATTGACAAAAGTTCTGATTGTTAATTTCTATAAAAATACCGCAATATCTTCCCAGTAGGAAAGCCATAGACCCCTGTGTCAACCATTACCACTGAAAATGTTTATCTTCTTGGAAAACACTGATGCATACAATAGCCGCGAGAAGTGCAAAAAAAAAAAAGGAAAAAAAACACACAAATGCTGTCACGAACAACAAAGTATTAAATATTTGCACAATTGTAAAACATTTGCCTTGCCCAGCCTTAACTCCTTCACCCCTGAAATTTCATAATGAACTATTCCAACCTTTGAGTGGAAGAGTTCAAATGTGTCTTCAGGGGTGAATGAGTTAATTGATAGTGTCTGCCATTATAGTCTCCATATGTTGAGATGAAACATGGGAATCTGTTGTCATGGATACGAGATAAGCATCTCAAAACTGTCTCCCACTAGAACCCGATTGTGAAATGTCATTAAAATTTTCCTTATCTAAAATAATTGTGTTCAATCATTGATGAAACTTGTTTTATGATTAAAATAGCTTTTATGATATACTGTCAACCCATTTATTGAAAGACACCTTCCGGCAGTAAGTAGATATTGTTTAAAATAAAATGCTGTATCCTTTACTGTTTGGTAAATGAATTTTGAACTATTTGTCATGTAGAGATATTATCGTGAACTGTGGAAGTTTGAGTTGTGTGGTATGAACTGGAGTGTTCTATTTCTTGACTTTGTCCCCATATTTAATTGCAGCAAAAAATGTCGGAGAAATTCATACCTTTCATATACAGTAAAACCTTGATAAAATGCCCCTCGTATATATACAGTAACACCTTGATATAATGCCCCCCGTATATCTACAGTAAAACCTTGATATAATGCCGCTCGTATATATAAAGTAACACCTTGATATAAAGTCCCTCGAATATATACAGTAACACCTTCATATAATGCCCCTCGTATATATACCGTAACACCTTGATATACTGCCCCTCATATATATACAGTCAAACCTTGATATAATGCCCCTCGTATATATACTGTAAAACCTTGATATAATGCCCCTTGTATATATACAGTAACACCTTGATATAATGCCCCTCGTATATATACAGTAACACCTTGATATACTGCCCCTCGTATATATACAATAAAACATTGATATAATGCCCCTCATATATATACAGTAAAACCTTGATATAATGCCCCTCGTATATATACAGTAACACCTTGATATAATGCCCCTCGTATATATACAGTAACACCTTGATATAATGCCCCTCGTATATATACAGTAAAACCTTGATATAATGCCCCTAGTTTATATACAGTAAAACCTCGATATAATGCATCTTGTTTCATTTTTCAATGTCCTTGAAACTAACCTTTTTCTTGTTTTCTTAAGAATTCCTTCCCACTTTTCCCTGAATTTATCGCCAAACTCCATTATAATGCCAACATTTATCTTGGGGGGGAAATGGTGGCAGTATAACAATTTTTTACTGTATTATGTATATCAGGTATTTTTTTGTGAATATCTATTTTTCACTTAAGTAATCTGCGAAATGATGAAACTAAAAACAACTAAATTGAACTTTAGATCACATTATTGAATAATCTTATTTTAAAAATGTTTGTGAAATTTGTATCACTGCAGATAATCTGATATAGAGTATGTCATCTACTAAATGCATAGATGTATAATAAATTAATACATTTTTGTGAAAAGATAATTTTCGTGTTAATTTGCAAGGATAGATAATAGATTATTACTATCAGTTAGTATTGGAATTTCATCATCACAAACATAAATCCAAACTAACACATTTGGTTTGTGAAATAAAGTATATGCGAAAACAAAGTGATAAACGGTACGTAAAATATCATTATACCAACACAATGCCATCTTGTACTAGAAAAGACATTAAGAGTTTTAGATTATAGGTTTTATTTCTTAAGAATACAAGGGACTGGATGATGATGGATCGGGCGGGTCACGGCTCGGTGGGTCAAGGCTGGGCGGGTCAAGACTGTACAGAAAGGATATATATACCTTGTTTTATCAGACAATTTTGTGTGGCAGTTTTTGAAAATGATGTAGTATTTGGAATAAAGATCTGTTAGGTGAGACATGATAATAGCCGTTTGACCTACGTCTCCCTCCCCATTCAGTGATGGGCGTTAACCTGTATATATATGGTTAATATGGGGATGGGGTGTTGAAACTTGACAAAAATAAAATCCCTTTATCTGTAGAAGTTGACACGTCTGGTAAAATTTTACTCTCCGAACAACATGTTATAGTCACACAAAGGAGAAGTGTTGAAAAATACTAACTTCAAAAGGTGAATAAATACAAAAATATACATACTTAAGCCGTTCATTGCAATGAATTTCAAAACAATTCTTTTAATATGTAGAAAATAGGATAATTATGTTGGGATGATTGGGATGAATGTATATTTGTTGCTGTTGATATGAGGTGAGTACATACAGTTATTGTATTGAGATAAGTATGTACAAGTTTTGTATTGGGTTGTTGAGTTGGGATGACAGGAATGAGGATGATTTGAGATGACACTATCAACATGCCTGTGTGTCTATTTGACAGGAGGTGCTTTACGTGGCCCAGACGGAGATGCAGCTGGCAGCTTCGTCGGCCTTCCTACAGATTCTACAGAAAAACCTCGTCCCCATACAGAACTACACACAAACATTCCTACAGACCATACTCAACAGTGTGGACGCCAGAGACCCAGGTATGTATATACCCAGCATCACCCTCAGTTCCCTGCCCATCTCTACCTGAGTCCAACCCCAGCCCCAAAACTTAGACCCTTCCCCTAACATCTGTTACCATTTTAACCCACACAGTTACCATTTTAACCCTCAATCTTGTGCTACTTTCATTCCAATTATAATCCCACACCTACCTTAGTCTCGAAGGGTTAAGTGGGCAACCTCATCCTATCCTTAGCCCTACCCTACCTTCAATCAAACCTCTGCCTTAGACCTACCTTTATACCCAACTCTCAGTAATCTGCCGTAGATTTACCCTTATACCCAACTCTCAGTAATCTGCCTTAGACTAACCCTTATACCCAACTCTCAGTAATCTGCCTTAGACTTACCCTTATACCCAACTCTCAGTAATCTGCCTTAGACTAACACTTATACCCAACTCTCAGTAATCTACCTTAGACTATCCCTTATACCCAACTCTCAGTAATCTACCTTAGATTTACACTTATACCCAACTCTCAGTAATCTGCCTTAGACTATCCCTTATACCCAACTCTCAGTAATCTACCTTAGACTATCTACCTTAGACTAACCCTTATACCCAACTCTCAGAAATCTACCTTAGACTAACACTTATACCCAACTCTCAGTAATTTACCTTAGGCTAATCCTTATACCCAACTCTCAGTAATCTACCTTAGTCTATCCCTTATACCCAACTCTCAGTAATCTACCTTAGTCTATCCCTTATACCCAACTCTCAGTAATCTACCTTAGACTATCCCTTATACCCAGCTCTCAGTAATCTGCCTTAGATTTACCCTTTTACCCAACTCTCAGTAATCTGCCTTAGACTTACCCTTTTACCCAACTCTCAGAAATCTGCCTTAGATTTACCCTTTTACCCAACTCTCAGTAATCTGCCTTAGACTAACCCTTACCCAACTCTCAGTAATCTGCCTTCAGACTAACACTTCTACCAAACTCTCGGTAATCTACCTTAGACTAACCCTTATACCAAACTCTCAGTAATCTACCTTAGACTATCTACCTTAGACTAACCCTTATACCCAACTCTCAGTAATCTACCTTAGACTAACACTTATACCCAACTCTCAGTAATTTACCTTAGACTAATCCTTATACCCAACTCTCAGTAATTTACCTTAGACTAACCCTTATACCCAACTCTCAGTAATCTACCTTAGACTATCCCTTATACCCAACTCTCAGTAATTTACCTTAGACTAACCCTTATACCAAACTCTCAGTAATTTACCTTAGACTAACCCTTATACCAAACTCTCAGTAATCTACCTTAGACTATCCCTTATACCCAACTCTCAGTAATTTACCTTTGACTAACCCTTATACCAAACTCTCAGTAATCTACCTTAGACTAACACTTATACCCAACTCTCAGTAATCTACCTTAGACTAACCCTTATACCCAACTCTCAGTAATCTACCTTAGACTAACCCTTATACCCAACTCTAAGTACTCTACCTTAGGCCTAATGCCAATCCCATGTCAGTCTTGCCTCCAACTCCCACCATCAATCCCAGTAAGGTCCTATCCCAATCATTTCTCTTTTATTAACCTAGGTCCAGTTCCAAATTTGTAGTCCAAAGCTGTAATTCCTGTAGTTCTACACTTGAGGTCCCTTTCCAACCCAATGTCAACTCTACCACTAACTACTACCCACACTTGATTAGTCCTATGTCAGCGCTATCACAACATCTTCCCCAGTGATTCGCCTATCCGACACATCACCTCAGTCCTTCCTCACCTTACCACAATTACATCCATCAGTCCTTCCCCTATCCGCATCCCCACCCTCAGTCCTCCCTCAGTCCTTCCCCTATCAGACTCCCCATCCCTCAGTCTTCCCTCAGCCCTTCCCCTATCAGACTCCCCACCCCTCAGTCCTCCTTCAGCCCTTTCCCTATCAGACTCCCCACCCTCAGTCCTCCCTCAGCTCTTCCCCTATCAGACTCCCAACCCTCAGTCCTCCCTCTCCCCTTTCCCTATCAGACTCACCACCCTCAGTCCTTCCCCTATCAGACGCCCCATCCTCAGTCCTCACTCAGCCCTTCCCCTATCAGACTCCCTACCCCTCAGTCCTCCCTCAGCTCTTCCCCTATCAGACTCCCCAGCCCTCAGTCTTCCCTCAGCCCTACCCCTATCAGACTCCCCCCCCTCAGCCCTTCCCCTATCAGACCTCCCACCCTCAGTCCTCCCCCAGCCCTTTCCCTATCAGACCCCCCACCCTCAGTCCTCCCTCAGCTCTTCCCCTATCAGACTCCCCACCCTTCAGTCCTCCTTCAGCCCTTTCCCTACCAGACTCCCCAACCTCAGTCCTCCCTCAGCCCTTTCCCTATCAGACTCCCCACCCTCAGTCCTTCCCCTATCAGACTCCCCATCCTCAGTCCTCACTCAGCCCTTCCCAATCCCAATCCCCACCCTCAGCTCTATCACAGTTCCATCCCTCAGTCCTTCCCCTATCCCAATCCCCACTCTCAGTCCTACCTCAGTCTACCATACCCCCTCCGATAGCCCTTCCCCTATCCCAACCCACATCCCAGGTTAAAATCTGCTTGACATCCTGACCTTCAGTTTGACCTCAACGCCATCAAACCCCCACCCTTAGTCCTTCCCCTATCCTAATCCCCACCCTCAGTCATTCCATTATCCGAATCCCAACCCCCAGTCATTCCGGACCCTATCCGAATCCCTACCCTCAGTCCTTCCCCTATCTTGGTCCAAGGCCAGTTCCACTACAGTTCCCACCCATCGTCAGCCTCTCCCTTACCCCCATTCCCACCGTATATTTCACTACCCTTCCCACTATATACATCATATATGTCTGGCTCTCCCTGGTTATCAGCAGCATCTCTCTCATCCAAAAAAACAAGATACATTATTGATCACAGATGTACACCTAACATCAGACTGTATAATATGGGCTTTCCTTGTCTTTACTATTGAATAATTGACCAGTGATGTTGATGAAACAGATTTGTTGTGTTGACCGCTGTAGGCCAATAAGAGTAGTTACTAATTCAAAACACAGACTGGACATCCGTGATGAATCACCAGATTTGATAGTTGAACCTCTATATTTTGGACACTTTGGTTTGAGAACATTCCAGATTATTAATATCAACAGGAATGCCATTCAGAAACAATCCGGTTATTTAACATATACCCATTGCGGAAATTGAGATTTTTCAAATTATAATATTTTAATTGTAGGTGTGTCTATATCAAATCACAGTTATCATGTAATTAATGGAAAATATTCAGAAACCTAATGTAGTTATGACCTCATAAATATTGAGATTATATTTGTTTCATTTCCTCAACTATAAACATTTATAGAAATAGAAATTTTTAAATTTATTACTTAAAAACAATATCAAAACAGTGATTTTTTAATTTTTTTTTAACTTTCCTAAATTGTTTTTGGAAAATAACAACTTTGATACTTTTGCAGAAAACGAATTGAACTGTTTATGACCATGATGGTCTGGTTACAATCAGCTCCATACATATTCTATGAAGTACATCACGGCTTCATGTGTACAGCTCATCAAAACCATGCTATCGTGGTTATCAACAAAATACAGTGGATTTCTTTTATTTACATTTATTTAATTACTTCATTTGATTTACATTTACATTGATAAAAAAATTACATTTGCACTTTAGAAGATTGTTTCTATATTGAATCAAAGTCATTGTATTGCTGGTGTGTAATCTATCAAAAGAATACCCCTTCCCCCCTTGTTAGTGATAGATGCCAATTTGACATTAAGGCTTGCACAACATAAATGATAATTCAATCGTCGGAATAATTTTTTGTGTACAAAATAAGATCCCATCTATTTGTTATCATGAAAAAATGAATAGGAAAAACCCAATTACGGTTACTTTTTAAAAATAATATATTGAGCATTTTCTTTGAGAGCCTCACCTAATCCATTATTTATTACTTTTGAAATTTTAAATGGGAATATTTTGTTTCCTATTTACTTTATGATATAATTTCAATCTGAAACACATGGAGCTGTCCTGGAGGATGACAGCTAGCTCAGCTTATTTTCACTGTTTAAGTGTATGAAAGAACAAAAATGTTTCTTCAGAAAGTGTAAGCTCCCTGCAAAATATCAGCTCGAGTTAACTTCAACGACTTTATACATAAGTTACGTATCTTAGGATTGTTTTCCTCCTTCAAAGCAGATGCTAGGTTTTTCAGATAGAAATGTACGATCCTAAAAGCTACAAAATAATGTTTTGTATGTAAATTGAAACTTCCATCGTTGGGGAGACTGTGTCGGAGAAGCTGCATGCAGGAGGTAATAATTAAACACTTGAGAGAAGTGAGATCTCAAGTCTAACACACAAACCCCACAAGTCCCATCTTCAATGCAAAATAAATGATCTTGTCTCGATCAAGGAAATTTCAGAATCTCTGTTTCACAGAATTCTATGTGTACATGTAAGAGGAAGACCACATCGGGATAAGGAAGTCTTCCTTCTGTGATGCTTAGCAGCAGATAAATCTTGATTTTACCATTATTTTGCTGATTCTTAACTTTTTGTGAGTGTGTGTGGTGCATAGTTTATTTGATAGCCGATACAATATATTACTGGAAATGAGAAAATTAAGGATGAATTGCAATTGTCTGTTACGCTGGCTGTAGTAAATAATATTCTGCAAATTAAAAAGTACTCGGGCGATTTCTCTGGATGAGGTCTTTTTGTAGAAAAACATTCACAGAACTTACTTCTCACCGAGATAATCACTATTCACAGAATTTATTTCTCACCGAGATAATCACTATTCACAGAACTTATTTCTCACCGAGATAATCACAATTCATAGAACTTATTTCTCACCGAGATAATCGCTATTCACAGAACTTATTTCTCACCGAGATAATCACTATTCATAGAACTTATTTCTCAAACAGAAAACCACTATTTACAGAACTTATTTCTCACCGAGATAATCACTATTCACAGAACTTATTTCTCACCGAGATAATCACTATTTACAGAACTTATTTCTCACATAGAAAACCAATATTTATTTACAGAACTTATTTCTCACTGAGAAAATTGCTTTTCACAGAACTTTTTTCTCATTAAGATACTGACTATTCACAGAACTTTTTTCTCATCGAGAGAATCACTATTCACAGAACTTATTTCTCACAGAAAGAACCACTATTCACAGAACTTATTTCTCACATAGAATCACTATTCACAGGACTTATTTCTCACAGAGAGAAGCACTATTCACAGAACTTATTTCTCACATAGAATCACTATTCACAGAACTTATTTCTCACAGAAAGAACCACTATTCACAGAACTTATTTCTCACATAGAATCACTATTCATAGAACTTATTTCTCACAGATAGAACCACTATTCACAGAACTTATTTCTCACGTAGAATCACTATTCACAGAACTTATTTCTCACCGAGATGATCACTATTCCGGAACTTATTTCTCACCGATATAATCACTATTCACAGAATTTATTTCTCTCTGAGATAACCACAAAAAAGCCAAGAAAGAATATATTAAATGATTATATGTATAAACCTATATGGAAATAACTGTTTGTACACATCAAGATTCTTGCTAAAATTATTGCAGATTTTTTTTTTTTTCAAGCCAATATCTGTTTGTGTTTATTATGTGAAAACTTTACAGTCTAGGAAGTGCTTGATTTAGCTCTGCCACCAAATCACTTTTATTGATCGCTTGTGAATCATCCAATATGGTCCCCTAACACAAACTTATAACTTCTCATTCAATGCATCAAGACCACACCGACCACCATTTGTATTAGCCAACCTGTTTGTGGAGCAGGGCCCAATCTATCACCGGTCTCGCTATTCTTCTTGCGCTACGATTATTTGTGTAGCATTTTATGAGTATATCATGTTTGAAATAACATTGCCAACATTGAAAATGGCGCAGACAACCAATAAAACATATGTTGCCCCCGTTTTTGTTGTTGATCAAGTTGTAACAAATTCCAGGCCTAGGTTACCAATATACCGTACCGTAATGTAGTGTTTGTTTCTTAGCCCCTGTTTGGTTTGTTGTTCAGAAAACATTGGATTAACCCCAGAGCAGGTGAGGGGGTTGTTTCTGGAAACAATCTCTTCATTCAAATAGCGTCAAATCCATTTTTTTTATCACCTTGAAGGCACACCGGCCTTATCACAGGTAAATAAAGGATATAATATTATACCTCATCTATATCACATGGTGTCTGATTGGATTATATTGGTCACATGACAAGGAAATAAAACATCATGCTCCCCTCCAGTTCTTGAATTTCCCTGCATCATATTTCTCTTATGCCGAACTTTTCTAGAAAATTTAGCAAGAAGCATTGTACTTAAGTTCGATTGACTGAAGCAAACGTCAACAGTGGCACGGAAGCCTGATACTCTTCACCATTGTGTTATTGTTCTATTTCGGTAGAAAGAAAATATGGGATGCCCTTGCTTTAAGGAAACATGACTCTTTGTTTCCCCGTGATTAATCATGTTTACTTAAGCTTTGCCCATGTGAAACATGATTAATCTTGAGGAAACAAATAATCTTGTTTCCCTATAACAAGAACAATACATATAAAGTGTTGATGCAGATTCATGAGAAGAAAAAAATATCACTTTTATTCGAAATCATGCATCAATACATTTCAATGATTCGCAATCAGATCCTTTGTAAACCTGTTTATTTCCATGATGGTTTGTTCATCATTTATTTTGTTCATTGTTCCATTAACTTCAGCATTACGTTATATATTTTGCATGTCTTGCATCGAATTGGTAATCTAAATGGACCATTTGGTCAGCTGATCAGGATATAATGATCAGTCATTTTGGCATTAGAATAGTTTTGATCACCCTGACCTATGCAACAATAGTGTTGGCAAGGCATTTGGAGATGATGAATTCCCATTAGGGCACTGTAAAACGTCCACTGGCCTCTATGTATGTGTTCTATGGCAATACTGGACAGCCCTCCCGATCAATACTCTTTAAAAATCCAAGTACCTTACTTCCAGCTGATAGCAGGACACTTAACTCCCAGGACAGCTGTTAAATTCTCCAGGACCGTTGATCTTGGCAAAAATGTTATTGTAAAGAATAAAATATGGACTGCACTCCATTTATACAGCATTGAATCCTGGGAAGGAAAGTCTGATTATTCCAAATACATTGTAATGCTTTAGGATTGTACCTCTCAACTATTTCAGTAGCTTGTGTTCAAACTATTTCAGCAACTCCTGAGAATTCCAACTAACCTGATCAAAAACTGTTATTGCCAGCTCATCAAAACTCAGTTTAGTTTGAAGTGAATGTTCCTAATTTAATCTTAAACCATTTGAGGAAATCCATGTAGCCCCAGGTTTCTCATACTTGGTTAAAAGTATTTTAGTGGCTCCCAGGAAAGTATTGTATTTTCTAGCTCAGTCCAATCATTTCAGGATCAGTCCTTGTTGTTCTAACTTGGTAAAAACTCGTTCTGTAGTAGCAGAATGTGGTAGAGTTGCTACCGTGGTCAGAAATCCCTTCCTCCTCAACCTCTGTGAAGGTTCATAGTGCCAGTCCATATTTACCATAGCTCCTAAAACTACATTGTCATATTGCATGAGAAAGAGCAATAAGTTGGGGAATGCTGGCCTTGACAATAAACAGCTATCATAGAGCTTTAGGAGAATTCATGTCTTGATATCATGTAATATACTGCCGAACGACATGCTCAATAATCTAATAAGTAGGTCAGTATACATAATGGCTGGTCGCAGATCTATAACTTAATGTTGTGATCATCATTTTCTGAAGACAATTGAGATTGATAGCTTGTAGTGTCGTTAGTAGATATTATGGTAATGATCTGCAGTGACTGAACGATTCATTGATCTCTTCAGGATCCATTTTGTGATAAGTTCGCCCTGAGAGTATTTTTTGCTGTTGTATGGAAAAGACAATTCCAACAGAACAAATAAAACAGGTTTGGCATATTGCCAAGAAATACGGTCTTTTTCAAGACATATGGAACAAATCAGAAAAATGAAGATTTAATGTCAAATGGTGTAAAGTTTTTTCGTCCATGCTTGGCTTAAAAGTTGCTTTTGAATACAATTATTATCTCAATAGTATAGTTAAAGACGGTGATGACAACCCCGATCAACCTCCGACCCTCACAACTTTATCTCGCTCAAACACACTTCAACCAGTGTTGGGATAATTTGACCACCATAAGATTATTGTCAGAATCATGGGTATTGCTAAGGAAGAATAAGGATGATGAGGTTAAGGATAAGAACTAAAAATATTGATAAGTCAGTAGCACAATATTGTGTCCGTATACTAGTCAACAGGAAAGGGAGTAAACAAAATCTGGCCTCAGTCATGTAAACACTCCTTATGAAAGTTCCTAAAATTAAAATTTTCATTGGAGTAAAAAAGATTTTCCTTAATTCCAATAATGCAATTCTATGAACAATTTAAGTTTAAGGATTTCCCTTGAGTTGAGGAATGAACTAAGGCCAGGTCAAGTATATAGACAGTGTTACATAAAGAGTAAATGACACCATTAAAATGGTTGAGTGTTACAAAATTATATGGTTGGGTGTTCCAAAATTAAAATGTGTTAATTTAAATGTTACAGGATTAACACCCCCCCCCCCCCCCCCCCCCCCCCGCGATCATTGACAACATTATGTGTGAGAATTAATGAGGTTATGTGTGAGAATTAACATGATTATTAATTTTGTAAGAATTAACGAGGTTATGTGTGAGAATTAACGTGATTATTTGTAAGAATTAACGAGGTTATGTGTGAGAATTAACGCGATAATGTGTAAGAAATAACCAGGTTATGTGTGAGAATTAACGAGATTATGTGTGAGAATTTACAAGGTTATGTGTAAGAATTAACGAGGTTATGTGTGAGAATTAACAAGGTTATGTGTGAGAATTAACGAGATTAGGTTTGGGAATTAATGAGGTCACTCCTTTTTGATGTGTTTACAGATGTGGCCAGTGCCTGGTTAGAAACTCTACTGGACGTCATTGACCTACTGCCCAAAGACATCATCAAGAAAGAGGTAAGTGTAAACAGATACATAGCAGATAGTCAACTTATATTGATTGCAGGGATGTGTCTCTTCCTCTTTTAAAAGAATTTCTTTCCCCCCCCCCCCCCCCCNCTGTTTTTCCTGTGACATTAAAAGTTCCTGATTTGTTCTGAAACATTTAAAAAAAATAGATATTTCTATGGGGATGAGGAGTGTTCCTCCATTTCCACTTTGATCTTTTCCTTTCTTCCCCCAATCACATCCCTGTGGTCGAGTAGATTCTCAGATATTATCTATGTACTCATTGGTGTAAGTCTTATATGAGAATAAACTGAATCAACCATGCAATCATATATCATAAATCCTAATCAATCATCACAAGCTTGATATCTTGTTTCTCCCATAACATATGTGTAAACTTGAGACTTTCTCTTGTGCTCATTTTCACTTCTCGAATCAGTCAAAAGTGGTCTAGCAAAAGTTACAACATCATATTCCATGACGGGTCATTACGTAATGGCCAGGAAATGATAACATCAAGGCAGTTAAGAGAAATATTTGTTTTTATAACGACTTGGAATCCACAAAACTGTAAAAAATTGTCATTTCCGAAAAAAGAAAATATTTGCAGTGAAGACCACTGTACTTGGATTGAGATATTTGTCATTAAATTGTGATCCAGTTTTACCCTCATGTAGTAAAATATGGACACGTTCCTGTGTAGACTCTTCTTCTGAACTGTAGCAATCCTAAAAAGTACTCGTCAGTGGAAAAGGAGTAGCTTGGTAGATATATTTATAGACTCAGCAAACCTCATCTGCAATCACAACATCAATAGATTAAACAAAAGCTTGATTTGGTTGTGCTGCAGGCCTCGAGCAAAAAGTTTTAACTCAGTAATTTACCTAGATATTGATATCCAATCTATCTAATTGGGTTAGGACACAATGATATAGAAAGGATCTTACTCAAGGTAACTGGTTGGAATTCCCTGGAGCTAAACAGATAATAGCTTGAACTTTCAAACAAATCAACTGATGACTAGTGAATCAATTTGCAGAACGTTAAAACAAACGAGGGGCGCTGAATTTGTTAGGGGGGATGGCCTTGATTGGTGAAGTATCTTAATTCATCATTAAAACATTAAACTGTTTGACCTTGTAGTCAAATTTGTCAAGGAACTCATCCAGTGTAACAGAGCATATGGTTCTGATCTCAGATTCAGGCCTGCAGACCTTGGTGCAAACGGTATTGATCCCGCCTGGAGCCGGTCATTGAATTAATCGTAACTAAGTCCAATCCGGTTGTTGGGTTGCTGTATTTGATGGATGCAGAACTACGATATTATCATAACAGTAATTTTGGATCCCCATTGATTTACATCTAACTCAATTCAGTTGTGTGTTTAGAGCATTTCCTAGTCCCTATGTTATTAACACTAATCCTGTTATTTTGCCAAGACCTGGCCCGACAGGACTCAACTTTGGAGGTTGTAGAAAGAGAAGTGGATAGAAATAGAAAATGCTTGTTATTCATATCGAATAGCAAATATAATAGGATAAAGATCAGTGCCGCCTTGATTCTGGGTAGCTCTGTTTCTTATCCTTAAATCTGGGGAGGGAGAGACATACCAGAAATGTGAGGAGCCAGATAGTGAATGGAGAGGAGGGGAGAGGGGGGTTAGTATCTAGTTAGTCCCCTCACAAACACAGGGATTAGGAAACAGAGATTAGCCAGATATGACAGGTGATGAGTAGCATATGTTCAGCTTCTTTGCCAGGTGTAACAGGAGACTTTTTTATCATTACATCAGATACGCTTAGTTAACTTCACCGAAATCAGAACTTAGATCTTACTTGTAGATATTTCCAGCACTACTTGTTATAATTTTCATATATTTTGTCATGCTGTGATCATTCTGAGCCCAAACATGAACTGTTTTATTTATCTCTGAATCGAATGTCTTGAATAGACAAGATGGTATACAATTATTGATGCGTTAAGATGGCTATGTGAGAAATAACTACCCCCAGATGTACAATAATAGAAAGTCATTAGCTGTAACATCTTTAAAATTCTTTGATCGGGGAACAATTTCAGCAATGTACAGGGAAATGATGTTTTTTTCCCCAGTCATGTCAAACATTTGAACAGTCGAAACCGTAATAATAGCTTTCAGGTGAAACAGACATGTTTTTATATTTCATTGATTTTCTTATCTTTTTTTTCCCACTGAAGTTTTTGCACATCTATGGGAAAACTTTCAGGAAAATATGTTCATTATCATGTTCGTTAGCACTATGCTATGCTGTCAATCATTTTGTCAATGCAGTTTTCATATAGAATTAGATGCTCTTATGCAGCTCTTATGTGATTTTCAACACCCCCCCCCCCCAGTTATGCAGGAATTTTGAAAAGGTGGGATATAGCTTGTAAATGTTTTCCAGGGAATCGCTTTTGTTTTTAAAATTCTTTGAAGATATTTTTGGCAAAGTGCTGTGTTAATTAATGTGTTAGCTGCTTGGTAATTCGATTAATGCCAGATAAAATTCTTGATGCATTTGATTATTATAACAGACAAAGATGTTTTCACATAATTAAACTCTCTATAGCTATGAAATGACACGAAGAAGTAATTTCATTTTTTTCAAAGCTCAGATTTAACGTGGAATCTGGCTGACCTTTGTCTGGTGTGGTAGAGGCTGGTTTTAGCTGCATAATTGCCTGCTAGATTGAAACCTCACAGTGCCTGGATTTTGTCGAAGGGTTTCACACAGGAAATTGTATTTTTTCTAATTGTTTTTCCTGCAGATTTTGAACATTGCCATCGCTAAAGGCCAGCTGTCACAGACTGTCTATTCCCGGCTCTCCTGCTGTAAAATCCTCGGAAAGATTGCCACCAAGTTTGAACCATTTGTGTGAGTACAAGCCCTGTCGAGTCTGAACCTGTTGTGTGACTTCATACCCTTCCCCACTTTTGAACCGTTTACGTTGCGAGAAATGCCCTACCTAGTTGTAACCGTTTACGTTGCGAGAACATGCCCTACTGTATTGTAACCTTGCGAGTACATGTCATCACTCTTTGATATGACAGCCAATCAATGATAATGTGTATCGTCTGCTACACGTAATTGTGCTACGAACACACATCAGGACAACAATCAGCTTGAACTTGATGCTTTCTTTACACATTTTCCCCCCATCATTCCTATCGTTACCAATAAGTGAATCAGAATAATTTTATTTTTTTTAAATCACCAGTTGTTACTGATACAAAATTCTCTCTCTTACTTAAGATATGTTGATAGGAAAACAAGTTAAAATTTGAAGTATTTATTTATAATGCATTGCCTTCAGTGATCTTGTTCATTCATACTCTTAACGTTACAATGTTTGAAATTTGAAAAAAAAAAACAAAAAAACCCCTGAAGGTTGTAGTTGCATTATGTTAATGTCATATTTGAAAAAGGTGGGGAAAATGAAACTGCAGTGGAAATTTTAAAATGTCAGAGAGAGAATTATTTAGCTTCTGTTACATAATCTGTTGTGAAAGTCTGAAAAGCAATTCAATGATTGGACGGATAGGGAGAGAAACAGAGCCAGAGTTAAAACAGGATGAGAGTCAGAATATGAAAAAAAAACCACTCCCTGGCAGAAAAAACAAGTCTGAACGTATCTAATGTTAGCATGCTATGCCAAGTGTTCAGTTGGCAGGGGAATTATTTGATAGTTCGGAGCATTGTGCGTTAGACCTGTAAATATTATCAGGCCAATTATGATATTGTTAGTATCGAATGTTGTAATCATCTCTTGTTGTCCAAGCCTCATCTCTCGCTCGGAGCAACCAGTCAATATTTCACCGACGAGACGATCGGAGAATCTATACACCTTCCCAATGTAGCCGCCTCTCTGACATGGCTTGCGTGCATATCTGTATTAGATATTTAATTATGATGAGAGGAAAACATATTATGCTCACTATCTCTCTAAAGTTTTGCTCATCTCCTAAGTCTTTATGTTGAAGTTTTCATATCAGATTAATACACAAGATTTCAAGTGTCCCTTTGAAATAAAATCTTTGAATTTTGTACGTAACATGACAACCAAAACCTTTACTTTTTATTTTAATGCAAAAAAACAGTTGATAGCTTTGATAACTGGCAGCTGGTAGCGATTTGATCCTTTATTGATCAACAGCAGGTTTATTTTTGGAGGAAAGTCATACGGTAAACGTCTTTTGAATTGGATGGTTTCTCTTTGAATGATTTGACGTGTGAACTAACATGTCTCATGTTTCTTAAGTCATGGAACAGATAGACAATTTTTAAATAATATTATTTTCATTTCAACCCTCCCTAAATGAATTAAGGAACTAATTAGTTATCTTCCCGTGTTCTATCGGATGAAAATGCTGATATCTTAATTTATTCAGATTTTTGTGTCACCTGTGAAGCAAAGGTAACCAATGCAAATTGCTCCGAAATGTCATCCAAACAAACGCTTTCTGTTAAATAATTCTTGAAGAAATGGTCCGATTTTCATGAAACTTTTTAAGCATTTAAATTTGATTTCAATTTCAAACCGATCCGAAAATCAACGTGGTTTCCAGTGAGCCAGTGGACTCTGAATCTACAAATGCTTATAATATCAATTACACATTCAAGTTTGATTTTGACCCAAATCTGAAAATTGATATGGCTGCCAGCTAAAAGCAGGCGACACATTTATTTCTCTTGAACTTTTGTTTAAATATTAGATTTATAGGCCAGATTATAGCATAATATAAATACTGCTCTGCAAATTCTAATGAGGGTCTGTACAAAAAGTAATAGCTGTTGTACAATGTATTTATGATTAAGTTTATGTTACATCATATTGAGAGAGTTGTTTTATCAGAATTGCTGATGAATGGATATAAATTAGATATTATCATATACACAGACATTAAATGTTTCCAAAAGATCCAAACGGATTTGTATCTGAGGCTGATTAGTAGAGAAGTTCATAGAATAGCTGTAAGGCTGATTGACATCAACTTCACTCGAAAATTGGAAGTCCCGTCTGACCCGATAGGATAACTTCTGTGACGGGGGATTTCAGTAATAAATTCAAATTTCTACCGAATTCCACAAAATAGGATCATGTGAACAGAAAAACTAATAACATGTTCACGCTAACATTATTGTTGACTTTTCAAGTTGTACAAAAGGCTGAGTTAGCAGCTAAGTAGAAATGGATGCCATGCGTTCAAAAGAAAATTTCTCTCAAATTTCCCCCCTCCCCTTGAAAGTTGGTTACTGCGGGTTTCTGTCGAAAAGAAATTAAATCTCTTCAGTAATCGGAATTTATTGATGATTTTTTTCTTGTTTTAGGGAGGGTTTAGATGTTCTATTTTTATTTTTTTCAGGATTAAAAAAGAAATCCTGCCGGTGGTACAGTCTCTGTGTCAGGATGTTGATTATGAAGTGCGGGGGTGTATGTGTCGACAGCTGGATTGCGTGGCCCGGGGATTAGGGTGAGAACGTCTTTGATACTAGAAAATATAACTGTGTTTTATATCTTTCAAACATTGATGAATATTGGCAAACTGTGGAGATCATTATCATTGCTTAATTACATACAAAGAAGATGTTAGTTATTTTTTGGGGTAAATATCTAGTCTTACTCGGGAGGTTTATGAGAGGATGAATTACGTAACTATAACTGATATATAGGTCCATTACATGCTGTGATATTGTGTTTGTGGTTGATTTTCCAGCCTTGAACCAACAAAAAGTGCAATACTACCTGAACTGGTGGAACTAACGAATGATGAGGAGGGGTTCGTGAGAACAGCTGGTCTAGAAACCGTTGTCAGCATACTAAGTCTGCTGGATGAGGGTAAAAATCTGATTGGTCTGCCCTAGTACTAACCCACATGTATACAGGGAATATTGTAAAACATGGACCTACCATTACTGTATAAGTGGATTATCTCACGCACACACTCGACTTCAGTAGCTGTGGAGATTTCTGGCCTTCTGATGTAGGCCTCATTGTATTAACAACATTAATTAAGCTCCTCTATGATGAATACTGGTAATATCCCAATAATGCTTCGCTACATTGTGTATTAATCTCCGAACTCTTGTTTGATGTTAAGTACAAGGCCTGGCGTGTGGATCTTTGTGCTAGTGCTTTCTGCATCGTTTTTTTTTTTATTAACGAATCAAGTTACATCATAATAGAATGTTATATCAAAGTTATCCCCCCTCCCCCCTCAACAAAGTTTGGAGGGGGAGGGGGCTTAATAGTTTTATCATATGTTTACGCTAAAACAATGTTGGAAGGGGGGTGGATTTGCTTTTAAAGTTCAAAATGTTTGTATTTTCTGGTATGTCCTTCTGAAATACTTTGATTGGACTTTAGCCCTATCACTTTCATACTAAAAGTTAAACGGTCATCAAAGTTTGTAGGTGGACACATCTTGAGGAGCACATATTGAAGGTCGCTGTGACCTATTTTTCTGCTTAACCGACCTGGGTCAGATATTATATTTAGCTTGATTTCACATAAAATGAGGGTGTCTGTTCATGTTAGTTTTACAAACATTTTCCAGTTTTGTCAGACACATTTCTAAAAAAAACACCAAAAAACAAGCCAGATTCTCATAAAATTGTTTTATGTATCTAACTTATTTTTTTTTACCTGACATCTAAGTTGGCCACCATTGCCTCTGACTGGCCAATAAGTTTCGGGTTTTAACACAAGTTTTATAGGGCTGACATTGCTTATACTTTGTTGGAGTCCTACATAGGGGTATACGTTATAGCTTTAAAGTTTCGATATTCAAGATGGTTGCCAACTCCTCTGATTGGCTGAAACCTTTACAGCTGTAACTGAAATTCTATTGGACATATTTTTGTATTCCTTGATAACAGTACAGCTTCCACAAACTTGTATCTTTATAAATTGTACCGTTTGTTTCAAGAACTTTATAACAATCTCTGTTACATTTAACTGTTGTTTCTGTGATACAGTGGGACATACCATCATCCTGAAGTTTTGGGGATTGTGGAATAAGAAAGGTGTTATCAAATACCTGTAGATTATAATTGTAGATAATTGTAAGCCATTGTAGCATTGAAGAAACAGTCATGACCTTGAATTCATCATGACCTCAATATATAATTCAATATGCAAATAAGTCCTTGAATTCGACCTTGATCTCGCCATACTCAAAACATTCATGACCTTGAATTCCACCTTGATCTCGCCATACTCAAAACATTCATGACCTTGACTTCGACCTTGACCTTAATATATACTAAAGACAAATTTATGATCGTTGATTTGACTTTTGACCTCATCCTGTCTGTTGAGACGTATTCGTGACATTATCTTTGACCTTGACCTTGTATGATTTCAGACACCTGCAATAACACCATTATCCCGTTGGTATGTAAGTTCTGTCAGCAGGCCATGCAGAATGAGGACAGTACCCTCCCGGTCGTAGCCAAGCAACTCGGCCGTCTCGCTCACGGACTACAAGGTAAACATCTCCAGGTCATCTCCAACTAACTGTTGGTGCAGTATCTTGTTGACCTATCAAACTGTTTAATTTTGTATAATTGTGAATATTTTCTCAGAAAATGAGATTTGAAAGATAGAAGTTAGAAGTTTATAAGAGGTGAGGCACTCGAATGTCTAGCCTTGAAACTGATTAAAATGCATCATCACCTTTTTTTTGTTGTGAAAACATTTTCAGCTGTACAAACAAATTCTAATCTGGCTTATATACAAAGACTGGCAAACGTTTCTGTTGTTTCAAATAAAACATTTCTGTACAAAAATTTGTGAATTTTCAAATGTTGACATGAACTGTTTACTTAAAAAAACAGCTTTAAAATGTAAAAGTATAAAAATGGATAACCAGATTTTTGATTTTGTTCTACAAATTGTTTGTTTCACAATGAACAACTATAAATCTGACCATCCCAGTAACTGTAAACTAGAGCAGTTCTATCATAAACTAATTACTTCAATATCAGGAAACAAGTATCTGATAAAGTCATCACCTGTGTTAGTGATTATCAGGTCTAATGCTGTATAGTGGAGTTATATGGGTTGTGAAGCATCCTTCCCTTGAAATAAATAAAATGTTTTGAATATTTAATGACCTATGGCCATGCCTTGAATAACAGGTTTGAGATTTGTAGTTGATTTATTATTGCATAATGGAGGCAAAAACATGTCCAATCCACGAAAAATATTGATAATGTTGCACACGCGATCAATGAAATGTCGGATGTTACGTAAGGCAAGCTCCATAACTGCGGGAAAAAAAAGGTTGTGAAACGGCACTGCAATCGTATAAAACAGCTGTATAGACGTTTACTCGTAAAAGTTATGTCAGCCTACTGCCATCAAATCTGACTTTTTGATGGAAGAAGAGAGGGGGAGGGGGGGAATAGAAATGTGCAGCTTTGGGTTTTAACGTTTTACACTAAAATGAGAATCAAAAGAGGATCTAATTTGCTATTGATTTAAGAATTTACTGAATACACTTCGGCAGTAAAATCGTTTGATCTCTGGAATTACTGCTCTTTGTTTTACCAAGTCTGAATATGTGTTTAAAACCTCCGGGGTAGAACTCAAAGAGTAGGCTTGGGAAAGAAGAGAAAAATCAATTCCACCATTTGTGGAAAATGCTACAATCAAATTGTCCTTTCATGTTTTACGAGTGTTATCATTGTCGGTAATGTAATGGTTATTATTCGTCTGACCTAAAGCATTGGGGGGACGTTGCCGTGTAAATTACACTCAAATTATCCCATCACCAATGACAGGGGGGCTGGTGGAGGAGGGACCACAGCGAGGTCCAATTGCTTGATGGTTATTGTCTCAAGGAAAACGAATAGGCACTTACGATCTCCTGAAAGATTGGCTTCCACACTTGTTTGCTCCTTCCGGCAGATTCCAGCTTCGTAACGTCAATTTTGTCTGAGTGAAAAATAAGTGTTTTTCCTCAGTTTTTTGTTTTGTGTTTTGTTTTGCAAATCTGTCTCATCAGTTGAGCTTTTAAAGCAACATGCATATTTCTTCTGATTCACTGATTCATAATAGAGATATGATAAGTGCCACGGGTCACAAGTTTCCCCGTCGCTTGTCAAGGTCACTGCTGTTCCGGAACACCCTGAAAGTACATTGTAATTTCAAAAGTTCAGAATTCTTGCCTAATTAATTTAGTTATATAAAAAAAAACAATAGGAGACGGTTTTTGAAATCTTTTCCTTTCAAGTACATTTCTGTCACCAACTGTTATCTGAAGATCAGTGATTTATATAGCTTTGTAGTAGCGTCATTAATAACCTCATATCTAGTATTCAATTGTGAATTATGGCCTAGTTGAGATATGATTTTTTCGAAATGTAATTATCCCCCATAAAATGCATCAATTTTTCGACAGGGATGAGTTGGTAGAGTTGAAGACAAATGTCAAAAAGTGCAATAAATTTTCATAAGATTTGACAACATATGAAATTAATTGGATATAATGAAATTGCAGTGAAAACTAGAGATGCTTTTGTTTTTGACGGGAGTTTTATGGTATGGGGTTGTCCGTCTGTCCGTCCATCCGTCCAGCGTAAACTTGTTTCGACCAATCTCTTTGAAACTTGGTATACATCAAAATCATGATATGAAGTTGTGTCTCACATAAAAGACTTTTGATTCAACAATTTTTCCAAAAGTTAATGCCCTTTGTTCATTTCAGTATTTGATCTTTGTCCGGCAATCTCCTCCTACATTTTTCAACGGAACTCTTTGAAACTTGGTATACATCATAATCATGATATGAAGTTGTGTCTCCCTTGAAAGAATTTTGATTCAACAATTTTTCCAAAAGTTAATGCCCTTTGTTCATTTCAGTATTTGATCTTTGTCCGGCAATCTCCTCCTACATTTTTCAACGGGTCTCTTTGAAACTTGGTATACATTATAATCATGATATGATATTGTGTCTCACATAAAAGAATTTTGATTCAACAATTTTTCCAAAAGCTATTGCCCTTTGTTCATTTCAGTGTTTGATTTTTGTCCGGCAATCTCCTCCTACATTTTTCAACGGGTCTCTTTGAAACTTGGTATACATTATAATCATGATATGAAGTTGTGTCTCCCTTGAAAGAATTTTGATTCAACAATTTTTTTCAAAAGTTATTGCCCTTTGTTCATTTCAGTATTTGATCTTTGTCCGGCAATCTCCTCCTACATTTTTCAACGGATCTCTTTGAAACTTGGTATACATCAAAATCATGATATGAAGTTGTGTCTCACATAAAAGAATTTTGATTCAACAATTTTTCCAAAAGCTATTGCCCTTTGTTCATTTCAGTATTTGATTTTTGTCCGGCAATCTCCTCCTACATTTTTCAACGGATCTCTTTGAAACTTGGTATACATTATAATCATGATATGATATTGTGTCTCACATAAAAGAATTTTGATTCAAAAATTTGTTCATTTCAGTATTTGAATTTTTTGTCTCGAGATTTTCTCCTACATTTTTTATAGCATGTCAGCTAACCACTCTTAGAATGATGCAGATCTTATTTCAATGAAAGAAAGTATATAACACTATATGACATTCGACGGGCGTATATTGTTCCGCGTCGCAGCACTCTTGCTGTTTTTTGTATTGTTTAATGGCCCATCGACAATGTTAGTCATTTAGGGCCAAACTAGAGATGCATATTTATTGTATTAAATAGTATACAAGTCCAATTCAATACAAAAAATAGAAGATATTTTTATCTTATTAATAAATGATGCTGACCTTCGTTTTCCAGTACATCTGACCGACGAACAGAAGCAGTGGTTTGTAGACTACTACAGAAAGTTATGTAAGGTCGGCCTTTCTCCTGAACGTGGCAAAAACACCAAGGAGGTGGAGTCGGACCAATCCAAGGTAAACCTCCTAATGATGTCACTGCATTTGTCAGTAACTAGGTGTACTGGTGATACATTGTGTGAAAGTAAAACCTCATTATACTGCCATCATCTGTCTACAGAAATGTTGGCATTGTGAAGGGGTTTGTCAATAGAATCAAGGGAAATACATTTTTTTTTTTTTAAAGAAAACAAGGAAGAGGGAAATTGAAATATGTTGGTGGGTAAAGAGGTGGAAAAGGAAACAATCATATTGTAGTTTTACTGTATATAAACAAGGGTTACCTTACATAACTCTGTTCCTTATTGCTTGGTTACCTTACATCCTAGGTTTTATGACATGTTTGCATTATGCTGTGTTATGGGAACCTGAGGAATAAACCCATTGTGGTACAATATGTACTACTTTTTTCTTGAACTGAGAGAGATTGATGTCATTTTTTCCAATTTTTCATTGTTTGCCACCTGGTTTCCATGTTGGCAGAAATCCTTATCCAAAGTCACATGATTCAACATCAATTTGGTGTTTCCTTTTGTACAGTTGTAAAAATCAAACAGACTTGTGAAGCTTTTATTGTGATTAAACAAAATGGAGTTTTACAGTACATGTACTGCATTGGGTAAAATGTAATGTGTCTGTAGCAGCGAATCAAACGTGATCTGATAGATTACCTGTCACAGCCGGGCAGATCACCGAGTTAAATTTCACAGGAGAAGGCCCACCAACCCTACCAGGCAGACGTCTTAGTCACTCAATCATTGCCTTTAGTACAGCTTCAGTTTTATCATCAATATTTTTTACCTTAAAATAACACATTTAAAGTGCACAGAGGAGCAGACATAGTCTTCGGAACTGTTATCAGATTTCTGATTTCATGTTTTAAAATGAAGCTTTATTTATCTCCAACAATTGTTTTTATTTCAACGTTGCCCATCTGTTACATATTTCTTTCGAGACAATAACTTTCCTAACTATTCATGGATTTCATTTATACTTGGGATGTACTTGTAAAATGATAATGTTCATGCTGGCCAAGTTTAAAGGTGCATGGAATCTATGCTTAGCTCATAATGTTATATGGGTACTCTTTCAACTTCCATTTATGCATGGGTCTTTTTACCAGATTTTATGAAAGTTTGCATATTGCCAAAGCCAAATTTAGTTTGAAAATGTATCCCTTCATCCGTCTGTTCGTCTGTCTATCCACTTTCCGCACTTTCAGAGATTATCTCAAAAATCCAGGGGTCTAAAACATGGTTGGACCCCTTTTCACTTGTCATTATTCTAGTTTTTCCTTGACGTTATATGCCTGTTGACAAAAATGAAAAGTGTTTTGTCAATTACATCTTAAAAAATATCAGAAGGGGATAAAAAGAAAATTAAAAAAAATGGTTGACATTGTTGATTTTTGTTGCAGGTCACAGACATGCCACAAAATGAAGAAGACGATCAGTGTTTAGAATGTAGGAAGAATGCTGCCTTTAACTTTCCTGTAAGTGTGTATATTGAAAGTTTAATATGCTGTTTCTCATTAGCATACTTGCAAACCCTTTAGACTCCCGATTTTGGACCCTTAAATTTAGCATTTTCAACCAGTGAATATTCTAAGATCTAATTATTTCATCTGAAAGAACAACTGAAAATATGTCTTTTAAAGGGTTATTTTGTCTTTAGAGGGTATATACACACATTTCATTTAGTTTTTAATTTTGAGCGTGCAGAATCTCCCCCATGGAAAGTTAGCAAGCAGGCATTAGAAGCCATAAAAGAATCGTATGGTCTGAGGCTTCCATTTTGTAAATTTTGGCTCAAATCATATTATTTGGAAATCTATTACACAAGACTTTCTGTTTCTTTTCAAGAAAATGTTGACATCTGTTAAACTTCATCGTTGTTGTGATGTGGTAATCAGTTATGCTATGATTCAGCCAGTCCAGGTTTATGTGCTTGTTTTAAAAAAAAATTAACCAAAACTTATTTTCGTTTTACTGTCATTCTCTTTAATCTTGATAGTGCATACTGCGAATCTCGCTCCTTTTTGCCCCTGTAACAAATATATATAACAATATTTCACTGAGATAAACTGTTCTGGTATACCATAGTTCTTTATAAGGGACAAACTAGGATCAAAATACCAAGGTCAAATGAGATCAGGTAATGTCAGTTTTTACCTATCACAACAGGACTTGGAAATAAAAGGTTAAATCACATTTCCTAACTGAATTAGGAATTTCCAAATGTTGACGCAGTACCATATGAAAGTTGTAACTATCGTGTTCTGTCTCAGCAGTGATGTTGATGCTGTTTATATTTGTTGTTGACAGGCGATGTTTATATTTGTTGTTGACAGGCGATGTTTGTGTTTGTTGTTGACCGGCGATGTTTATATTTGTTGTTGACAGGCGATGTTTGTGTTTGTTGTTGACCGGCGATGTTTATATTTGTTGTTGACAGGCGATGTTTGTGTTTGTTGGCCCCAAGCACTTCAAGGTCGACTTGCTGGGCATTTTCTCTAGTCTGTGTAAAGACCCCAACAGCCAGGTCAGAAAGACTGTGGCCAGTGGTTTCCACGAGGTAAGTGTTGGTATGGTATTAGCTGTAGCAAAAGTTTGGATTAATCCCAGGAGGAAGAAACGCTACTGTTTACCATACACAGATTTTAAATTTCTCTAAACAATTTATTTGGTGCAAATCACTAAATAAAAAAATTACACAAAAAAAAAAGATTCACTTGAAGTACAGCTACAGACTATTAGTGAAGTATAGCTACAGACTATTAGTGAAGTATAGCTACAGACTATAAGTGAAGTATAGCTATAGACTGATAGACGCTAAGCAAGTTTAGGACCAGATAAACAGTGCTTAACTCCAGAAGTTGAACCTGCTAAGTAACTCCATGGAAATCAATTGCTGTAGAAAGTTTTAGAGTTCAAGTCCAACCTGGACTAGTATGGGGAAAAAGGCCCTTTGTGTATTCATTCATTGTAGATGAGTGGTGTTTTTTGTCTCGAGGAAGTAGTGGAAGCAAGACTAAGGTGTTGTTTTCCGGCGGCGGGGTTAGCATGAAGTTTTTGCGTTTAACTTAATTTTACTGAAAGTATAAGTGCTAGACAAACCAAACTTGGACCATAGATGCATATTAGGTAGTACATCTCAGCCCATGCATCAAATGCTGGATGCAACCTACTTTTCATGGTCCATTGACTTTGTCAGCACTCATCAACATGAAGTTTTTGCGTTTAAGTTAGTCTCTCTGAAAGTGTGAGTGCTAGACCAACCAAACTTGGACCATAGATGCATCTTAGGTAGTACATATCAGCCCACGCATCAAATGCTGGAATGCGACCTACCTTTCATGGTTCATTGATCATGACTTTGTCAGCATCTCCATCAACGTTAAGTTTTAGCGGTTAAATTAGTTTCTCTGATATGTGCATTGATGGTCAAAGTGAGGCACAGCCAAGGCCTATTAATCCGAATGGCTTGTTATGATATCTATATTTTGGTATTACAGGTAACCAAGTTGTTGGGGTCCCAGGTACATATACTACAACATGATCTCATCAACTTGCTCAAGGATGACTCTGTAGACGTAAGTTTCACCAGTAGAAGTATTTGAAGTCATGGTCAGTCAAAATTATAAAATGTATGCTGATATATTTTTATACGCCCGTCGAAGACGGGGACGTATTATGTTATCACGTGAGCGGGCGGGCGGGCGGGCAAACGATGTCCGCTCGATATCTCGAGTAATTATTAACGGATTAACTTCAAACTTCACAACAAGGTTAATTACCATGAAACCACGGACAAGTTCGATAACCGCCATTATCCGACCGTAATTACTGGAGTTATTACCCTTGGTTTCATTAATGCGATGCATGCGTTCCATGATGTTGTATTGCACTCATTGATCTACCAGTTATGTTGAATGATTTCTCTTTTAATATCAATTACTCACAAATACTTCATATATTTCAATCATACAAACAACTGCTCATTTAATGTGTGACGGGCGTATTATATACCGCTCGCGGTAACCTTGTTAAGCATATTTCTGTGAAACTATAATAACAGATCAGTTGCTAAACTCTTTAGAATTTTGATTTACGACCAGTAAAATATTAACAGTTAAGCTCGGTGGAGTTTTGATATTACAATAAAATAAAAAGGTTAAACATCTGTAACTGATTCTGAAGAATTTCCATATTACAATCATTTAAATATTGCATCTAAGCTCTGAATTTTGAGGCAAATTGAATCAACTTGTTTTCAACAGAAGGCAGTAATGGTTTTAGTATATAGTACATTACATTAATCTAAGCTTCTTAGAAGTTAAATAAATTAAATATTGTCAGACCCTGTTGTCTCGGACTGGTTGTACAGTTGTCTTAGAGTTTAAAAAAGCTATCCAATCAGCATCCAAGACTGTGTCATGTGACATTACACACAGCATCCAAGACTGTGTCATGTGACATTACATACAGCATCCAAGACTGTGTTATGTGACATTACACACAGCATTCAAGATTGTGTCATGTGACATTACACACAACATCCAAGACTGTGTTATGTGACATTACACACAGCATCCAAGACTGTGTTATGTGACATTACACACAGCATTCAAGATTGGGTCATGTGACATTACACACAACATCCAAGACTGTGTTATGTGACATTCCACCCAGCATCCAAGACTGTGTTATGTGACATTTCACCCAGCATTCAAGACTGTGTCATGTGACATTACACACGGCATTCAAGACTGTGTCATGTGACATTACACACGGCATTCAAGACTGTGTCATGTGACATTACACACGGCATTCAAGACTGTGTCATGTGACATTACACACGGCATTCAAGACTGTGTCATGTGACATTACACACAGCATCCAAGACTGTGTCATGTGACATTACACACAGCATTCAAGACTGTGTCCTGTGACATTACACACAGCATTCAAGACTGTGTCATGAGACATTACACACAGCATCCAAGACTGTGTTATGTGACATTTCACACAGCATTCAAGACTGTGTCATGTGACATTACACACAGCATCCAAGATTGTGTCATTTGACATTACACACAGCATCCAAGACTGTGTCATGTGACATTACACACAGCAGCCAAGACTGCGTCATGTGACATTACACACAGCATTCAAGACTGTGTCATATGTCATTACACACAGCATTCAAGACTGCGTCATGTGACATTACACACGGCATTCAAGACTGTCATGTGACATTACACACAGCATCCAAGACTGTGTCATGTGACATTACACACAGCATTCAAGACTGTGTCATGTGTCATTACACACAGCATTCAAGACTGCGTCATGTGACATTACACACAGCATTCAAGACTGTGTCATGTGACATTACACACAGCATTCAAATGTGCTCAATGCTTCATTGTTCTAATAACTGCATTATCTCACATAAATATTTCTAAAAGACTGTATATTTAGAGTTTTGTTTATATTTTTGTTGCAGGTCTTTTTCTAATGTACTGTATTTTAAGAGTTTTGTTTCTAACCTTGTTGCAGGTTTTGCGTGGTATTTTGACAAATATTGTTGATATTTTGGATTCCTTCCTCGGTTCATCCTCAAGCAATCATACTCTGTCCGAGGCCAAGGTAAGTCTTGTGCATCAGTTTATCCTATTTATTTAAAATTAGAAGTATTCCATACATTTTGGTTTTGGATCAAATTCACTGGATAGAACAGTTTAAAATATAACATTCTACACAATTGAATTGTCGAAAAAGCAGTCATTTAAAAGGTGTTTTTTTATTTAATATTTTTGAAATTTCTTTTTATTCCCCAATGGAAATCATGAAAGATTGGCAAGTATGAATTAAGTGAGATAAATTAAGATATCATTTTCCTTGACTGTGTTAGATCAGATATTGTGTGAACATGCATATATATATAAATATATCTGGAAACTTGAAGAATTTGAGCCCTGTATTATCAGAAACCTGTATAAATCATCCTTAACAGATTTCTCTTTGTGACATTTATTGACCATGACACAAAGAAATCCCATACCCCACCTGTCCCCGCCCCACCCTGTCCCACCCCTCCCCACCCTACTATCTTACTTCTATCACATCCACATCTTCCCCCTAGCCATTCCTGGGGAACCCTTTAGTCCATTTTCTCTCACTGCTTTTTCATCTCCGACATCACTGTTGAATTTCCCATAGATTATGATCCCCATCAATTCCCCAACTTATCCTCTTCTTCACCCCGCAGTTGCAGCCCCTACTTGCCCTTGAACCCCATCCAATTCCCCCACCCCGACACATTCCCTACCCTACCCCCAGTCTCATGCCGCCCCCACCCCAAATGCCATTCGTTCCCATTGTTGCTGACAGCACAGACGTGCTCCAGTGGACAAACGTTACATGATTATATGAAGTATTGTTGGTTTAAGCCCGCTATGTTAGTCACGCAGTACGAGTTAATCAATATCATCACATTATTCTGTAAATGATTCTGTTACACAAGACCAGTAATCTATAACTGCTGATGAAGATCGAAACTTTCAGTGGGACGCGGTAAGACTTACGAATGAATCAGTGTAGAAATAGAGGTCCGAACCAAAAGATCGAAAGGTCTAGTTAATTTTTTTTTGAAAGTACTCATTGATGTCAATCTTGTTTTCTTTTCTGGGTTTTTAAAAACTGCTTTTAACTTGCAATGAATATATTGATTTCTAACTATATATAGAAAGGGAATAGATTAAATGTGAAATTTTGCAATCAACCCTATGCTGTACAAGCTTTCAGCAGCCAGCATTTTAGTTGATGGATGCCACCATGATCTATGTGGAGAAATGGTATGGGAGTTTTCCTGCATTATTTAGAGATTCACGCTTCTTTGTCATCGGTGTGAATCAAACCATTGAGGAGTTGGAGATTGATTGTTACATTCTCTTGCACTCCGTCGGGTCATAGAGGATGGAATTATCTCGCGCTCCGTCGGGTCGTAGAGGATGGAATTATCTCGCGTTCCGTTGGGTCATAGAAGACGGAATGCCATTTGTTGAATGTAAAACTACAGACATTTGTTCGCTTGGGCACTTTGGGTTGAATGGTTGCAGAATTCTAATGTCTGGACCGTAATGTTTGATCATGTCAAGATTTTGTCATGAAATATGTTGCAACTAGACCGTCATATCTCAGTCTAGGATCCGGACCATACCCCAATTAATTTTCTAGGGTCCGGACCATACCCCAATTAATTGTCTAGGGTCTGGACCATTCCCCAATTAATTGTCTAGGGTCCGGACCATTCCCCAATTGATTGTCTAGGGTCCGGACCATTCCCCAATTGATTGTCTAGGGTCCGGACCATTCCCCAATTAATTGTCTAGGGTCCGGACCATTCCCCAATTAATTGTCTAGGGTCTGGACCATTCCCCAATTACTTGTCTAGGGTCCGGACCATTCCCCAAATAATTGTCTAGGGTCCAGACCATTCCCCAATTAATTGTCTAGGGTCCGGACCATTCCTCAATTAATTGTCTAGGGTCCGGACCATTCCCCAATTAGATGTCTAGGGTCCGGACCATTCCCCAATTAGATGTCTAGGGGTGAGAAGTCGAGTCATTGATAAGCATGGCTAGACCACAACTTCTGATAGCCGCGAGATGATATTGTAAAAGCTCCTAGGTGGGTGTGTTTGGAATAGGCTCAAAGTGTGTCTTTTTTCATGATAGTTCAGGATAACAAAAAGTAGGTCAAAATATTTCAATTTTTTTTTCTTAAAGATATATGTTATTATATTTTCATATATTAATTACATATGTTATTATATTTTCATATATTAATTACATATGTATTTTTCTTATATCAGGCTTGATAGTCCTATGTTAACCAACAAAAGTACAGCTAAAATTTAAAAAGAAAACTTTAGGAAAAAACTAATGCATGCTGTCATGCCAGTGTGGAGTACAGTAAGAGTTTTATTTTTCAGATGAACAGTCTAGGGGAGGTAATACCAGCCATCTTGGCGTCGGACGAGGTGGTGTCCAGTTTTAACAATTGGAGATTACAGGAAGAGCTGATGACCAGTCTGGCCAGCTTGACTCAATGTTGCTCGAATGAGGTTCTCTATACCAAAGTCATACCTGTGCTCTTCAATAAACTCAAAACAGCGGTCAGTAGAAACAGTTACATTTCACTGGACAGATCGTATAGTGCAGCACTCTGTTCAGAACACTGAGGTCTCTACATGAAAATTCTAGAGAAGTGCTATGTTTATGGTGAACATGTTTAGACTTGAAACAATTATCCTAGTAATCAGGTTAAGTCCCCTACTTAAAACCTCTTCAAAAATCATATTCCGGATTAACCATGCTAAGTGATATGCCACCTGCTATCTGCAATCATGATATCATTTGTTACAATAATGCTGATACTATTTCCGAATTGGTCTTCACTTAAGCCCAGATACAAATAGCATAAGAGGATTTTCTATAAAGGAAAGCTCTTGCAATAAAACCTGTCTTACATGACAACCTGTATAAAAAGAACTTCCTGCTTTATAAAATGCCTTTACTGACACCTAGGTAAGGGGACTTATACAATTATAATTACATTGTAGATCTGTTTCTGTTATGGATAATGATTTATTTGTTATTTAGCATCTGTTACTCCTTTATATGCTTATCTGTAAGATTATAAAATAGCTGTCAGTGGCTTCATGCAAGTATACTATCCACCAAATTTCCCACAGAAATACACAGAAGTTATGTTTCCATCTAGGATGGTATTTAAATGAGGGGAGTGAATTTTCAGATATCTGAAATGATAAATAAATTAGCATTTGTCTTGACACTTGTTTAAATGAAAGGATTTTCTGAATCTGTGATACAGAAATGCTCACTTTTTGACGTTTGATTTTCTCCTGACAGCGAGCATTACCTGTACGACATACGTGTGCGAGGTCATCGCTCATCATTATCAGGACGCTCAAGAAACTGGAACAGAGGGAGGAACTCGTATATCGTCTCGTTACAGGTGAGATACAGTCTCGAGGGCCGCTTTCGTTTATCACAATCCAAACAGTTGGACCAAAGGTTGTTCGTTTATAAAATAAGGTCCAACCTAGTAATTTGATGCTACTTTCAGGTGAACCTTTACAAAGCCTTGCAAGATCTGCATAAACATTTGTAGGTCCGCCAGGATTTATAGCCGGAAATGTTACATTTAAAAAAAGACAAACCGGTTGTTCTGCATCAACGAACAGAAATGTGTATTGTGGCTGATAGTTTTTGTTATATATATTGATGTTATAATGGAATATGAATTGTTATGAATGAGTGAACAAATTTTGCAATGAATAATTCATGAATGTATTGATGAATTTATGAGTGCTGGAATAAATTTGTAAATCATCGAGTTCAAAACTTAATCAATGTATTAACAACAAATCAATTGATTTACAACTGAAGGTTTTGAATGGACTAATGTATGAGACTCAATGTTGAAATTAATAAATGAAAATTGCATATGGATGAATGAATGAAATTATATCCACAATCAATTAATAAATTAATGAATAATTGAAGAAAGTTCTCAAGTCTGATTCCCTAATGTGTATTTTTACCAATTTTTCTACTCTTTATTACAGAGTTCTGCCATGGGAGGAGCTGTCACCAGAGAAGCTTGTTCATAGACATTTGTAAATTTGTGATAGAACTATATTCTAAGACATTTTTTAAGAAATATTTTTACGAAGTTGTGTTAGAACTGCACAAGGATCCAGTGCCTAACATTCGATTACGATTGTGTTCATTACTTCCGCCCCTAAAAAGACTCATCAAACTTCCGACGGACCGCAACCTGCTTCAGCAGCTGGATCTGTGTGTACGGAAGCTGCTAGTGGCAGAGAAGGACAGGGACGTCCAGAATGCCATCAAAGTGGTAATTACTTTAAACAGTCAAACTTTGTTAATGTTATCAACTCATCCACCCCTGAAATTTCTTAATGAACTATTCAGACCCTTGAATTGGAAGAGTTCAAATGTGTCTTCAGGGGTGAATGAGTAAATGTTAATACTATCATTATCAAGTTTTTTTATGATCCCATGAGAGTGATCTAAATATGATCTTTATTGGATAAATTTGAAATGTCCTGTGTATGTTAAATGTTTACTTCATCGAACAGAAGACTTTGGTATAGTAAGACTGGAAAGTTGAGCATTTTTGCTGATTTCAGTCTCGCCATTTTGAGCTACATTCTAAGATGTGTTACCTGTGATTTGTGTTTAAGTTAACCGTACCACTGCTAAAATCCTGTAACGACCCATTGGAACCGTGTTCTGGCATGACTATAGCTTTCATGAATGATTTCTGAAAAGGAAACTACACTTGTGGAAAATTTACGAAAAATAATAAACATGAAATATTAAAAAAAATCCAAAACAAAATAATGCAGCAACAGCTTTCTGAGTGTAAAAAGGCAACAGGGCCGGACCAAGCTTTGAACTCTTGGTCTTGTTTACGTTAAGTTGTTAAACATGTGTATGTGGTAGATTGTACCAGATCTAAAGCTGAATGATTTAAATAGAATGTTGAATGCTTAAAAATATACATTTATAGATTAGAAAGATTGATATTGGTTTTGATATATATATATGAAAGTAAATTTTGGTTTCTGCATCTTTTTCAGGCTGTTGAAGAGTTAGATAAAATTCATGTTCAAATGGAATCGGTAAGTCGACTTTATTATATATTTTCATTTAAAATTAAACATGTTGGCAGTGCAATTACCAAATTTGATTGGCTGTGACCGCATTTGATGAGCCGGTATGTGTGATTTTAAGTTGCAGCATCAGGGGCATATTGTTTCAGATCCCTCTACCGGGATCTAAAAATAAATTTTCTGGGAGACAACTTTTGGAAGTCACCCATGTTCTGTTGAAATTGAACCTCATTTTATCAAAAAGTACCACAGCTTGAAAATTTCTGCTGTATAAATTTTTTTGAATTTTTTCTCGTAAGATATTCTACCTCGTAAGGACTACCTTGGAGAACCAGATGATCATATATAACCATATATAACCATATACTATAATGGTTGGATGATAGATATCAACAACTTTCTTCACCCCAGATAATACATTGGAAGTTATGAGTTAGTGGTTATAAAGCAAAGGTCACAGGGTCATAAAGCAAAGGTCACAAGGTCATATCATACTGAGATTTTCTCATGATCATCAAAAGCTATGGAACGAAATATTCTTAAAATGTTCACCGATGCATTTTCTTCAATGGAAGTCAAGTTCAGGAAGGCAGGTTTTCTCAAGATTTATTTGTAGGATGAATGTCCTATTGACAAGGTCACACTGTTGATGGACTTGCATTCTTTGCAGCTATCTCGAAGGATGCTGTTTGAACAAGATCTAGTGGACCAGAAAAAGGAAGATGAGGAAAAACTGCTCATAGAATTAGTAAGTTTGTAGTCCCCTAAGTCAGATTAAGTTGATGCTCCACTTAGTCAGAAAAAAGCTGATACTCCCTTAATCAAAGGACACATACTCCCCTCAGTTACTTCCTAACCAAGACAAAAGTATACTTCCTAGGTCTGACAAAAGATTTATGAACTCTTTCCGTACCGCAACTCCGGTCCAGATTCCGTACCGGATGTTCTTACTAGACTCGCCCCCACACATATACATGGATTACTAATTTACTTTTTAGACAAGGTGTAATTGCTGCAAGGTAGCCGTGAACACTTATTGTTATTGTTACATGTTGTTGTTCATAGACACACACCTCTTTATTTTCGCATAATTTATGACTAACTGGCAGCTGAATATGACTGAGAAATTGATATTTGTCCAGCAACGAATGATATGATTCCTTTTATTCAAAACAGCATTGTAGTGCAGGTTCCCAATCGGGATTGATTGTGGTTACAAAGTCGTTAATTTTTTTTCTTCTAATTACAAGTTATCAAGACTTGTATAAAAAAAAAAAAAATCATATTTACTTCCATAAGTCTCAGTAAATATTTGGTGATGAATTTACGAGGGTTCGTATCAAATTACATGTAAGTTGCCGCCTTATTGTTTAAATTTGAGACACCAAACACAAACATCTTGTGGCAAATTTGAAAACAAAATGACACATAATGAAGAATGTGTACTCTGCACCTATAAAAACGTTTCTTTCCAACTGATGCGGTGCTGATTTTAGCGACAATTAATTGGATTACGTGACTGTCATAAAAATTCCAAATAAAATGAAGATTTTTGATATTTATTTTTATTATATGCAGGACTGCAAAGAATAAATCATATCTTTAAGGTCATAGGAGTGTATTGATAAACGGAAACAGGAAGTTCATCCCTAGTTGAAAATCCAATGTAGGGAGACAGTATCACAATTTCCGCATATTCTAATGTTTGATATTAAACCGATAAATATTGCATGTTTATTATTGACAGAACAGTGTGTTCTCTCAATATTAAAGTATTTCAAAGCAATCCAGGCATTAATTCAGGGTTTTTTTTATCAATGAGTCACATGTGTCCATTTTTCTGTACTTCAGGAACCCGGCTTCCTATTTCACTACTGTGAAGTTTTTCAAGAAAGATAACTCTTTGCATGCAATTACTATATGTACATGGTTTTATTATAAAATGTCAATTTTTAAACGTTTATAGATAATTAATTTTACACAATTTCAGCATTTATTCAATTGATATACATTAATGCAATACTAATCTATGTCAGTATTATTTTTATCAACATTATTTTGCCTAAAATTGTGTCGATCATTTTTGTTTTCAAAACTCTCCTTTTGACTTAAATTTTCATTAAAAATCCTTTAAATTCTGACAACCTATATTTTTTTGGGGCAGAAAAATTTCTTTACTTCAACGCAATATAACTACAAAATTGGAAGAAATTCTACTGAGAAATGGTGACACAATCCTATTACCTTAAACAATGTATTAATAAATGTGCAGGAGGAAAGAGATCAGAAGAGGGAAGAAGAAGCAGCAGAGAAAAAGAAGGGAGAAAAACGCAATTCTGTGACCTCTGCTTTAGCGAAGAAGGGTGATAACGGAAGTAAAATTCCTGGACCACGTAAAGGTAAGTAAATCTATCTCAAACTCAAAGTGATATCCAGAACAGTCAAACCACAATCACCTAAACCAAGGTAAGATAATTAGGCTTCTAGAAAATAAATTATATAGAATTATCTCCCCTTTATGGACATTTTTTGCATTATTTTTCTCCTTGAATTGAAAATTAATGTATAAGGAAAAAAAAAAATTTTAAGAATTTTATCAAACAATTTGTAAAAAGAAATTGTTTTTAATTATTTTTGAGAACAAAAAGTATACCGGTAATTAAAACTTTTAAAGTGAGGCTATTATGAATCTACTATATTCAAGGAATTTTAAAGTGAGGCTATTATGAATCTACTATATTCAGGGAATCTTAAAGTGAGGCTATTATAAATCTACTATATTCAGGGAATTTTGGAGTATACTGTAATGAAAGTGTATGAAAATTGTACATGAAGAAGTTTTGAGTTCACAGATATGGATATTTGTAAATTTCAGGTTCTAAGAATTTAGCTGTATCCGGTACGACGTCGCCGAATACATCTACTAAAGGTAGGTGTAGAGTGTTACATCCGATAGTGTGATTGAGTAATGGGGAGGATTCCCCTGCTCTTCCCTTACCTGAAATGATTAAATTCTAGTCCCTAATCCTATCTACAAAATGTGCGAGGTGTCATCTTAGAAATGACATTTTTCCTCCACTTTTATGTTTTTGATTTTTTCTCTTTTATTTTCTTATTAAAATGGAGGCTATTTTGTATTAAAGAATCACAATAAAAGTATATGCTGCTTCATTAGATGTAGTTTGATAACAATTTTAAGTCTATTTTGAAAATCTTCAATCTGCCATTAAAGTCCAGAGGTCCAGATGAATAGCATGTGATATGAAATAACAGATACTTTATCATTCTGAACGGTGCAGCATCTGATACAGATGTTGGAGACCACGGTGGATAAAAATGATTATTTGATTTTTCCATTTTATACCATCTTTGTTTCGCTATTTACGTGTGACCCCTATTATTTGACTACCCTCTGTCCCACATTATAGATGAACTACTTTGTCCTTTCTACCTTAAATCCCTACCCCACTCTGTTGTCTGCTGTAACCATTACCCAGCACTTACCAGGTAAACAGTATCACCAAATACCTTCTATCCTACCCCCTTAACTCTCAAATGTCTTCCCAACAGTTTTGATCTTCCCTAACCTGAAAGGTTATGTTTCCCCTTAATGTATTTAATCATATTCCAATCCCCAAAAGACATCCCCAAAACTTATCTCCAAATGTTTTTTTTATGCATGTAGACTCCTTTAAATATTCCCTGCTCTAGCCTTTAATCTTTTCCCCAAATGTGATCATATATGCTAAACTCCATACCCCCAAAAGTCTGTCCTCTACCTGTTTGTATGTAAAAGTACTCCTCTACACATATTCTCCAATGTCCATCTGTATTAAAGCATGCCCCCTACACCCTGGAATCTGTCCTCTGCACTGTCCAATGTCCGTCTATGAGTGTAAACTCTCCAACCCTTTAATGTCTGTCAGTGATTGTACCCCGACCCCTGCATGTCTGCTATCTGCCATTGAGTGTACCCCGACCCCAGCATGTCTGCCCTCTGTCATGTCTGTCTGTGAGCATACCCCTACCCTTGGATGTCTGCCCAGTGTCTTTTTGTCAAATCTGTCTGTTAGGAAACCCCTACCCCCTGATGTCTGCCCTGTATCTGTCTGTCTGTCTGTGAGCGTACCCCTACCCCCTGATGTCTGCACTGTGCCTGTCATGTCTGTCTGTGAGCGTACCTCTACCCTTTGATGTTTGCCCTGTGCCCGTCTGTCTGTGAGCGTACCTTACCCTTTGATGTCTGCTCTGTGCGTGTCTGTCTGTGAGCATACCTCTACCCTTTGATGTCGTGCCTGTATCTGCCTGTCTGTCTGTGAGCATACCCCTACCTTTGGATGTCTGCCCAGTGTCTTTTTGTCATGTCTGTCTTTTAGGAAAACCCTACCCCTGATGTCTGCCCTGTATCTGTCTGTCTGTCTGTGAGCGTACCTCTACCCTTTGATGTCTGCCCTGTGCCTGTCTGTCTGTGAGCGTACCTCTACCCATTGATGTCTGCCCTGTGCATGTTTGTCTGTGAGCGTACCTCTACCCTTTGATGTTTGCCCTGTGCCTGTCTGTCTGTGAGCGTACCTCTACCCTTTGATGTCTGCCCTGTGCCTGTCTGTCTGTGAGTGTACCCCTACCCCCTGATGTCTGCCCTGTGCCTGTCTGTCTGTGAGCATTCCTCTACCCTTTGATGTCTGCCCTGTGCATGTTTGTCTGTGAGCGTACTTCTACTCTTTGATGTTTGCCCTGTGAGCGTACCCCTACCCCCTTATGTCTGCCCTGTGTCTGTCTGCCTGAGGGCATACCCCTACCCCCTGATGTCTGCCCTGTGTCTGTCTGTCTGTGAGTGAGTATACCCCTACCCCCGATATCTGCCCTTTGTCTGTCTGTCTGTGAGTGAGTATACCCCTACCCCAGATATCTGCCCTGTGCCTGTCTTTCTGTGAACCAACCCCCCTTACCCGCCCCCNGTGCTGCTTTGCCCTGAGTCCGCTTTCACCATGCATTACTACAGTATATAGTGTTTGTTCACTGTAGACCTGTGGGTTGAAGGTACTTTGTCATGTCAGTCTGTTCACATAGGTGTGTAAAGATGGGTGTCTGCACTATTGATATAATCATGACTAATAAAAAAAACAAAAAACATACCAATTCATATTGACAAGAATTTTTTATATTAAAGTTAGATTTAAATGTGTCAGATTTTCTAATTATCAATTTTCAAATATATATTTAATCTCATATATAGTCAAGATTTGATGGAACAGAATATTTTCGGGACTGTTCTACACATTTGAAACATTGCGATGCTATTTTCACAGATCTCACCAGTTTTAAGTTTATTTATCCACCATATTTGCAACCTGAAGGTAAATAATTTCGCAATCACATTTTTTGCTTCACAGCTGTTGAAAACGACCATCTTTGCTTACCTATTTGATGTATCAAACTCCCTAATCTATTTACTGACCGTTTACTGAATTATATATCCATTATGTAGATTAATTCCATGTATTCACTCTACATCTGATCAGAAATAAATAAAAAAAAACCATCAAAAATGAAATTCTGTAGAGGAGGCCATGCCAAATTATTATCTTGTATCTTGGATTTCAAATTTAATAAGTTCTATGAATTAGGCCATATATGCCAAATTAGTGTCTTATTCCCTGGATTTTAAAATCCTGTTTTTTGAACAAACATTTCATTTTCCTTTGCTTTTTAAATTGCTTCTTGCTCTTAAACATAAATAGTTTTCATCTCCTGCTGTAACAAAAGTTAAATTTAAATGAAAGGAGAAGTTTATTTGAATTTTATTTTATTTTATTTTATTTTTGCGGCCATCTATAGTTTTTATTAGAATTTCATTTTCTATGATAAATTTTCTCTGAAAAGTTCTTCTAAACATGTTGTTTTCTCTTTCACTGACCTGAACTATGTGTTTATGTTAAAACTGATGGAATGAATTTGACATGGCCTGTTCTGTCCGATGGTTTAGGAGGACAATTTTTGACTAGGATATTTGGGCCAGTGATGGTTGCAGTGTGTTGTTCTGGCCGTGACACAGTGTGAAGTTGCACTGTTTGATTCACAGTGAAGACATGAAAAGCATGGTAGAAATATTCATTTGGTTTCAAAGTTGATACTTTTAGCTCCTTAGAACAGAAATTTGAAGTTTTATATTTTTTCCCTGCATGTTTGAGTCGTTAGAATTACAAAATTGATCTTCAAATTGATCCCAATAAATGAGTAGAAATAGTGCTAGTTTAACGTGAACCTGTCCCTTTGATAGTCAGTGACAGTGTACAGGGAGACAGATCTCAATAGTTCAGCATCATAGCCATTACTTCCTTTGTTGCAATTGTATCCTTTTCTCTACATCCTTGCTACCAGTTCTTGGACTTGGTCATCAGCTTCTTTGACCAACCCTAGGAATTGGTCATCAGTATTGCTGACCAGTCATATGGAGAACTGGGATCAATATTGCTAACCTATCAGTGGAAGGGTCATTGTGTTGCTGGCTTGACCAGGGATTGGTCAACAGTTGACCAGTCCTGGGCAATAATGACCGCTCTGCTTCTTCCTCCAACCCTAACTAGTCCAGCTTTTAATCCTAGACTTAGAACTGACCACGCATGTAATGAATGTGTCACAGGTGTGACACGGAATTGTTAATCGTAGATCATTAGGGTCTCGTCAAATTAGGCTTCATTTGTAACTGACAAAGTAAACAATTCTGCCGCGTGGAAAATTTACATCTTGTAAACAATTGAAAGCACCAAAGCACCACGTTTTAATTGGATTCATATTAACTTGCCAAACTGTAAACGATACTTAATGAAATGCATGACTGCAGTAACTGATAACCAACAAATTATAACTATATATCTATGCTAACGTCACTGAAGTGGAACACTGTTAGACACAGTAATACAATTGAGTTGTCTCCCTTTTTATATATTTTTTTGTGTGTTCTTTTAGATTCTGTCTCTATGTATATGAATGAAATCTCTAATCTCTAACTAAAGTTCATTTGTCAGCTACAATCGCTTTCACCTTTCATTTTCAATAACTAAAGCCAAGGATTATGACAAAACTTGCCCCAATTTCTGTGAAAAATATTAAAAAACTTCTGTGTAATTGGTCAGTGACAGGACAAAGTTTTACTTCATAGCCATATGAGTTACCTTGAGGTGAATTTATGCATGGAAAGGTTGGGTTTCAGTTTTGCAAGGAATTTTGCCTTAATCAGTTGACAAAGGTGATAGTGAATGTAAGAAAAGACAACTCCGGAAAGAGATTCTATATTTGTAGGTGAGACATATTATATATGTGTGTGTATATTTGTAGGTGAGACATATATGTGTGTATGTATATTTGTAGGTGAGACATATATGGTTGTATGTATATTTGTAGGTGAGACATATATGTGTGTATGTATATTTGTAGGTGAGACATATATGTGTATAAGTATATTTGTAGGTGAGACATATATGTGTATATGTATATTTGTAGGTGAGACATATATGTGTGTATGTATATTTGTAGGTGAGACATATATGTGTATGTATATTTGTTATACTGTGCTCTGTAATCCTCCTCTCTGTCATTGTAATCTTTGTAAACGTCACCTCATCCTTTTGTCCTATTTTTGTCCAATTAAGATGTCCAGAACAGAATTGGAAAAAATAGCATAGCCAAATCAAAGTCCACAAACAGTTTGTCTCAGATTCCTCGCCGAGGTAAGACAATCGCAGGTAAAGAGAACTGCACGTACCTGTCAATGACAAGGGCTTACCTGTCCTTTAGTATATATATATACAAGTAGTTAAGTGTTGTGTTTCTGGTACAGAGGTCTCCGACCCTCTCTGCATGGCCCTGTATGGTGTATGGTTAGCATGCATGTAACGTCAAGAGCCGACAACAAAGTACGCCTGGTGGGAAGATTTTAGTCTTGTAAGCTACATGTGTGCTGTATCATTTTCACAAAGTGTTCACAAAGTTATTTTATTCTTCTGTCTACCGGAACATGTTTTGAAAATAAATCATCCATGAATCGAGAAGCATTCAGTTGCGATTGAATCTTAAACAATTGACCGCTTCGTAAAAGTTAGTCATAGAAAGGTAATTGATAATTTCACCATTAAATTAATGATGTTGTAGCTAATTGTATATTTACATGATCAAGTGTTAGATTAAAACCCCATACACCTGTTTAATTTGTAAAAGTTTATTTGATATTTTGTCCAATCATGCTTCTTTACTTTGTGAAATTGATCATAAAATCAACACTCCCCTTTCCTTTTGGAACGGATTTATCATCAGATTTCCAACAACGTTGTACCTCTTTGATATAAATTTGCCGTGAAGTTTGCAAAAATACAACTTATCTGTTGCTATATTTTGATTGTGAGGTCACAGAAGATGTTGTCGGGCACATGATGATAGGACAAGTTGTCTCCCCTTTATGATCCCATGGTGTATCGGAATACCAGTCAATTTACCCACTCTTTACTAAAACAGCAACCTATATTTACATGTAGTCTTAGTGAAACAATTAACAATGCTACTGACTGATCACTGGTGGGCCGACAATCTTTTTATAACGATTCAACACTTTAAAGACATTTCAATTAAATTTCACACACAAAATTGTGAAATAAATTATTTAGTTGTGGATCTTTAATCCAGCCAGCAACAAGCCCAGCTGAAATAGCTAGATCAAAACTCGGTCCTAAATGAGTCGGAGTGGGTAGATTAGGTGGGACAACCAGACTGTTGGTGGCTGGATTAACGAGGATTGACTATATATAGATTACGAAAAATAATTTTTGCTGATGTGACATTGAAAATTTGCCAATTACACAGTATCAGTTAATTATATCTGTAATGTACTACTGTAGATTATGTTCATTTCACACAGTTTTTATGTAAATTCGCATTTTACATGGATTGGCAAATTTCCAGAATTTCCAGATATAATTTGAACATGATAATTCACATATATATACATGTATAATGAGTAACACAGATGTTGGATGAAAATAGGAACTAATTTCCTCGCCCATAAGTATGGAAACTTTGGTATGCAAAATTAAATTTGTGTGAAATAACGTTAATCTACACAATAAATAGCTATAGTCTACAAGTATGCTTGTATTATACAGAGAAAGTTAATAACATCTTAACCATTGGTATATTCCTTCACAAGAGGTATCTGTAGACTAACTGATTAAATGTTTATACCATCACAATGGCACTGCCAATACCTTGTAAAGGAACAATTTTTGTAAGTTAAAATGATATTTGTTTACCTTATCTGAAGTTGAAATCTTGAAATGAAATTGAGGTTGTCTCAGTTTGAAAATATTAATATTTGAAAGTTTTTTGAATTTTTTAAAGCAGAAGTAAATAAAACTTTGATCAAAACATGATATATCTCTTTTTGAAAGCATGTTTAAAAATATCAGGACGATCCCCTGGGAATGGATTTAAGGATCCCTGTCCCTCAGCAGGGCCGTCTTTTCCTATATACAGTAAGCTCCTCTTGACATCCAATTGGAAATAACTGTCGCACATTTGGGCCAGGACGTTTCCATTGAGGAGGTAGCTCATTCGGTGAGAGTGATAGTATAACAAACTGAAGTCGAGGGTTCAGAACCCCGTCTAGCCCCACTCAGTTTTCACAACCAGAACACTGTTGTAGATTATATTTTTGTTTATTTCATCTTTATTATTTCTCATAAATGTCCAGCAAGGTATGGTATTCTCTTCAGAAATAATTTATCAAAAAAACAGGTTCCAATACTTACAGTTGATGGTACTGGGCTCCTTAATACAATGACCATAGATGTAGATCACTATGGGGAGGTCAAGTCAGGGAAATGTATGGTTTTGACTCCAAGATTCTCAAAATTTTAAAATAAAATGTTAAACGAACATTTGAGAGATTTTCACAATTAAATATATTTTTATACAATCATCTAGCACATAATTTTCTTAAAAATTCTCCCTTGATTGAAAAAGAAATTTATATCAAGTTAGATGGTTAACATGTTACTTTGTAAATGTATGTAAGTATTGCTTTCTTGTCAGGATACTGTGTGTACTTAGTGAACTGTTGATTGTTGTTGAATTGTTCATCTGTATTGAAATAATGCTTTATATTTAAATGACCGATAGAACACCCAATGGTCACTTGTTGACCATTTTGAATTTTGGGACACTTTCTGTCCATTATCATGGACAAGATTTTTGTTGTGCAAAGTTTGGGTTAATTTGTTTCCCTTTAAGATTTCATACATTCGTTATATTAGGTATTTTGTAACTGATCAGCCATCCTTGAGGGGGGG